GTCTATATTTTTAAGAGATGCCTCGGGACTGTCCTTTTTTCAGTCAAGGCACCCTTTAAAATTATGGTTGAGAGACACTGGTCCAGATCACGAAGTGAAAAAAAGGGAAAAAGCCTAAGAAAAGAAAACTGGATGCAGCCACCACGTCTCATGATTGGTAAGCTGCAATATATTATACTTTTGGTTTTGTGTTTAATACCGCTTTAAAGTAATGGTTCGGGGATAGTGGTGGTTAAGTGTTAGGGATTCTTTATTAAAAGATAGGTTCACCTTTTAGTAAAAAATACTTTTTTTTTTTTTTTTAACCTGCAAAAAAAGTACAAGTGCATTTATTATTTCTGTCCGCAGGAGACTAAAGCATTGCACCAACGATCAGCAACCATGTACCATGCAGGTTTCGTGAACATTTGTCAGAATATCTGCTTGCTTGTACTTGGAAACAAAGAAGATCCCCCGCTAGCTTTCAAATCGCTGGATGGGGGGTGTTGAGCCGGGGCCAGTCAGATTGTAACAGGTTACATGTTACACCCTGAATATGGGTGTAACATGTTACGAAAGGTGAACATATCTACCTTATCCTTTTAGAACACTGGGGAGCTAGGGAAAGGAGGAAGGAAAATCTCGACCCGGGCCCTGTCTAGAATTAGTCTCAGATACTGCTAGGCGGTTGGGAAGGCTGATGTTTTGAAGCTGATCATTATTATTAGGATACAAGATTTATATGGGGTCAAGAGCTAGCACAGCGCTTTACAATATAAAGGGAGACAGTACAGTCACAATACAATCCAATTGGGTTAGGACGGCCCTGCTCATAAGAGCTTACACCTTTCTGAAAATTCCTTTGAATCGTCCTTTGAACTGTGGTAGAGTATGGCTGGGGTGTCTTTTAGCCTTTAAGCAGCAGGTCATCTAGGTATCCTGTGACATAGAAGCCCTGAGATCTTATAAGGGCAAGGAGTGAAACCAGCAACTTTGTGAAGACCAATGGTGAGGAAGAGAATCAACAATCGAAGACAAATTGAAAGCATTGGTCTGCCACAGCAAAGCATAGGTGTATGTAAAAGATGGAAAAGTGAAGATGGGCATCTAAGAAATTCTAATTCTGAGAGAAAAAAAAAAAAAACAGATTGTAAAGACTCCATACAAAATTTAGGCACATATACAGTATTTTCTGGCGTATAAGACTACTTTTTATACTTAAAAATATACCCCAAAAGTTGGGGGTCGTCTTATACGCGGGTATAAATTGTGAACCTTAAGTTTGTTTGGGTCAAGCTGGCTGGATGTGTGGTAATACTGTACATACAGTATATCGTGCTGAGCCAAGCTGGCTCAAAACAAATGTCCCTATGACAGATTAATCTGTCAGCCTGCTGGATGTGCGGTATATATAGCATACTGCACTGAGCCAAGCGGTTTCAAAACGTACCGCTACGTCCCTACTGTAATCAGCTACTGTACAAACACATCCAGCGGTCTGAGGCTGCATACAGTATACGCTGGGCCAATCACGGCGAGTGATGTATTCTACTAATGAATACAAAGCCTGCTCGGATTGGCTGAGTCAGAGAGGTGGGCTGATTATGTCACAACCTCAGCCAATCCGAGCAGGCTTTAAATTCATTAGTAGAATACATCACTCACCGTGATTGGCCCAGCGTATACTGTATGTAGCCTCAGCTACTGTACATACACATCCAGCGGTCTGATTACCGTAGGGAGGTACCGGTACATTTTGAAACAACTTGGATCAGTATACTGTATATACCACAGTGGTATATACTCAGTATACGGTATATACACCACACATCCAGCGGGCTGACAGATTAATCTTTCATAGGGACATTTGTTTTGAGCCAGCTTGGCTCAGGGCGGTACACTGTATGTACATTACTGCACATCCAGCGGGCTGTATATATACTGAATACTGTATGTAGCTAAAGCTACCGTATTATCGCACATCCAGCGGTAACCATCTGATTTGGTTTGATCCATATGATGACTATCGTAGAAATGTACAAGATGTCATTCATGAACTTATGATGTCAGAGGATGAACATGAGGATTTTGAAGGATTTTAAAGTACCGGTAAGTCATAACCATGTCAATTAAAAAATCTGATGTTTTTAAATGGTGTTTCCTTCGAAAGGGGGGTAGTCTTATACGGCAAGAATAGCCCAAAACCTATGTTTTAACTGGAAAATTAGGGGGTCGTCTTATACACCCAGTCGCCCTATACGCCGGAAAATACGGTAGATATTGGTTTAGGAATTTTAAGCCCAAAATGGGGTGAATGCCTCCATTCAACTTTGAGTAGATCCAGATTGATACAATGGCCAAAAAAGACACCCCTCACTCCAGAGTAGGGAAGCCCCTTTGTAGTGAAAAGGGTTTCTGGGACTCACTACCAAATTTTGAGATCAAGGTGTTGAATGTGTAGGAATGGTAATATAGACCTCAAAATTTGCATTTCATATATTTTTTGGACACTGGGACCCATATGTACTTGTGGTGGTCTACCTTGGGCCAGCAAGCACAATGAGTTGACGCTCTTCTTTCCCTTTTGTGGCCACCATACTGCTGTTTAGGGGTAAGTTTTTTTTGTAATTTATTCTAGACTCAAAATTATATCTCTTGCTTTATACATATGTAACACACACACTTCTGATTTTTGGAAAAAAAAAAAACAAACTACTTGTCCAGGGACTAAATCGGTGCCCCAATCTACTTCCCTCATGACAATCTACTTGTCCAGATTAAAAAAAAAAACAAAAAGACTTTTAACCAAAACTGTATTTAAAATCGGAGGTGATAATAGGAATGTCTAGGACTTTTAAAAACAAAAGGGGCTTTATGGCGACTGAAAACGTTTAATATTTTTAACATTGTACTGTTCATCTCCTCCTCCCCTCCCTTCCTGTCTCCAACACCGCACCTGGGGACTAGCAGGGAGGGGAGAGACCTTGCAGTGTAATGAGCACCAATTGGCTGCGCCTCAGGAAAGGGTGGGTCAGGGCTTATCCTTTATCCCTTTGCTGCCAGAGCTGTTTTTGCATTTTTTGCACAAGTTTAAAAAATAATTTTAGGCCTGAAGATTACATAAAACCCCCTAACATTATATATTTTCTGAAAGCAGAGACCCTGGAGAATAAAATAATAATTCCAATTTTTTATGTCGTATTACCACAAAATTTCAGTAAAAAATACAAGTAAGTTAATTTTAGGGCACAAAAAAAAGCAATAAAACTACCCTATTTTTTGTAAGATATAAAAGATGAGGTTGCACCGAGTAAATAGATATCCCCAACTTGTCAAACCTTAAATTTGTGCGTGTTCGTGAAATGGCGATGAACTTCAGTAGCCTAGATTTTCAACACTTTTAAAGATCCTTATAGGTCATCAGTTTAGCGATACGTCTGGTGCTAGAATTATTGCTCTCATTCTGGCGTGCGCGGCGATATGCGACGTGTATCTCAGTCGATGCTTTAATACATAGGCGCCTCAGCATGTGCTTTTACGTTTGTACAAGGTTTTTTTTTTTTACTTTTTTTGGTGACAGGTTCTCTTTATTGAGGCATCCAAACCCTGCATGTCTCCCCTGTGCTCCACTGAATGCAAAGCAGTGCACATCGCAACACATTACATTCTTTCCCGGCTTCCATGGCCTAAAATCTCTCAATAGAGACCTGGAAGTGACATCAGAACGTCACTTCCGGGACAAGATATGCTCCCCTCTAGCATACGGTGGTGAGCCAGTGCCGGGCCCGCAGATGGGCAAGCGGAGCCCGGGAGACCCTAAGGGGGGGCAAGAGAGGCTGGCACTGTGTGGAAGCAATCGGGCCACCCGAATGCTTCCACCTGACAGGTGAGCCCGCTGCTTGCCAGCAGCAGGGCCAAAATACCTGCCCGACAGCCAGAACTAAATGTTTTATACAACTGTACGTTCTTTCATTAAATCATTTTTGGTCACGTACACCTAATTTACGGGACTCACAAAGTATTCAAAGTGCTTGTGTACTGATTTTTAACTTTTGTATGTAATAAAAAAAAAAAAAAAAATACATATGCACACATCAAACAGTGAACTTACTGCAGAAAGCATATGCTCTGAAGCCTTAAGCTGGCCTTCATGGATAAAAATTCGATTCATGCTGAACCAGCTACAGCATAGCCATCGCGGCTGAACAGAAGCTGATCCCTATCTTACATTTTCCATGTTGCAGGTTCCTTAAGGGGACACATTTTCACCCATCTTGGTGGCATACCGCCAAAGGAGGATTCAGGATCTGGGTGCCATAGGACCTGTATAGCACCCTGCAGCTAACTACATTCTTGGCACCATATGTCAAGGGAAGCACTGAATGCAGGATCCAGTGCCCAAAGCAAACAATATAGGTCACCCCTGTTCAGGTACCATTCCCAAGATCCTCAGGGGAACATAGTGTGCCCTGAAGCATTAAAGCGGAGCTCCACCCAAAAGGTGAAGTTCCACTTTAAGGATTCTTCCCCTGCTCCATTAAGGATTGGCATCTTTGGGGAGCGGGTACACGATTTTGATGATCGGAAGCAATTCTCCAACATCAGCTGAGGATATTAACAAAAAACTGGAGGGGTTATATGAGCATGCACTGGGCGGTGTTCCCAGCAAAGCTTTTGCCAGTGTCCAATCAGCTGAAGGTAGCGGCATATTACCCAACAACAAATGTGCTGGTAATTTGACTATATTTGTATGTTATATTGACGTTGGTTACAGCAGCACACTTTGCAGGCACTGGAGAAAATGATGATACTATGTCCAATATAATAATGACTTACACATTTTTGGTTTTCATTTCAGCATGCAAACTGAATAAGAAACCACCAAGAGTGCTAAACACTAGATGACGTGCTCTCTGGTTTTTGAGTGTATAACAGCCAAATTAACGATCACATGAACATAAAAAAAAAAAAAAAAAAAAAAACACAAACAATAAGGAAAATATGGTGGGTCATTTCCTCACTTTCAGCAGCTGATTTTCATCTGACAGTTTAATAATCTCAGACTGAAGTTTCTTGCATTCTTCCACAAGTTTCCTAGTTTCAGTATCATCCATTGAAGAACTACCTTTCACTGGCAAAGCAGCAAACAGTTTTGTGGTTTCATGTGTCTGAAAAACAAAACAAAATAGATGTAGTGGCAAATTAGAAAGTTCTCAAAGTCCAGGCCAGGGACAGCAGACCTGTAACAGCAACCACAATTACTTTTCAAAGCGGTTTAGAGAATGAAACATAAGTCACTGTGCTATAGGTAACGGTCTCAGTTTAATTTCGATTTCCTTGCATCCATATCATCAAATCCTTCCTACTGCACTGCTCGTTTACAGCATTATTTTAGTAGGGTGGGAAGTACCATAGTCGAACAAATACCAACTAATCAGAACTAGCTAAAAGTAGGCTGGTTGTTTTTATTTATGAAAAATAGAAAAATTACAAAAATGATCACTTCTGATTGTGTTGCTCAATTGCATAAGCTTAAACGTCTATAAGTAGATACACCCATGAGATTTTGTGATTCTGTTTAGACAATAGTAAAACTGGCTGGATTACAAAACTGAAAGGATACACACATTTGTCCATCTTATTTGCCAAAAGATTTGCATATCTATTCCTTGCCTAGCAATAGGAGGTTGTGACGGGGTGTAACTACAAGGGTCACAATAGCAACCCAGCCCCATGTGATTCCCCTGTATACTGAATAGGAGGGGCAGCACAGAGGGAACCGATAGCCCTCAAATTTTCCTCCTGAAGCTGCTGAAAGCCTGCTTCTCCTCCTCTACCTCCAGTAGGCATTCAGCGCCTGCATGAGGACAATGGAGGGGATCAGATCTCCTATATACCGCCCCTCCTCCTATTCAGGTTACTCTATGCTGGCCAGGCCTCCTACCTTTTCTGAATGGCCAGAGTCAGTGATCAGTACCAATCACTGACTCACTGTATTTTACTATGCGTCGGTTTGTGAATGAACAGGAGGCTCTGTACAAAGCTTTCCTGTCCATTTACTCTGTGCTACTGAGGCTGCAGAGATAGAGAAAGGTCAAACATCAGAGGTCTGATTAGACCCCAGATATCTCAAAACATATCTCATACCTACAAAAATAAAATAAAATATTACTGACATCAGTGGCAAAACTACCAGATCGCAAAGGTCGCATTTACAACTGGGCCTTGGTGTTGTTACCGTGGGGGAAGGCCCCCCATGACAGGAAGGGGGGGGGGTGTGCTGGCGCTACGTGGTTTCCTGCACTGGGGCCTTGAAGGTTCTAGTTACACCTCTGGGTTGTGACTTCAGGCTTTATTCTGTAACTGTTGCAGAAAAGTGGATACTAACCTGTTCACCCAGACTGCAAAATAAAGTAACAAAACACCGATTAAGTCATCATTTTGATCCATCCTCTTATGCCACCCTTCCCCCCCCTTCCAGTGCTACAATACAGGTGAGTACAAGATTCTAATATAAAGGCATATTCAGGCATCTAAAATAGCAAGTTAATACTAAATGTTTTTAGAATATATATTTTTATAAAAAGATAATAGGTTTAAACGGCAAAATTTTGTATCTGCCTGGAGGTTGGCTTTAGAGATGCTGTCATAAATCCACACTTACTGTATTTACAGGACACTTACATAGCTCATGTTCTATACTTCTTTTATCATCACATACACTATACAGTGGGGAAAATTATTATTTGATCCTCTGCAGATTTTGTTAGTTTGCCCACTTACAAAGAATTTAAGGGTCTATAATTTTTTTATCAATGTTGTTCTTTAAATAATAGAGACAGAGTATCAGCCAAAAAATCCAAAAAAAAACACATAATACAAATGTTATAAATTGAGTTGCAGTTCAGTGAGTAAAATAAGTATTTGATCCCCAAGCAAAACATTACTTCGTACTTGGTAGAGAAACCTTTTTTTTCTCTGCAAGCACAGAGGTAAGATGTTTTTTTTAATTAGTTACCAGGTTTGCACACATCTCAGGAGGGATTTTGGTCCACTCTTCTTTACAGATCTTCTCTAAATCCTTAAGGTTTCTTGACTGTCGCTTGGCATATTGAGGTTTCAGCTCCCTCCATAAATTTTCTATAGAATTAAGTCTGGCTAGGCCACTCCATGACATTAATGTGCTTCTTCTTGAACCACTCCTTTGTTGTCTTGGTGGTATGTTTTGGGTTATTGTCATGCTGGAATACACATCAACGACCAACCTGCAGTGTTCTGGCTGAGGAAAGAAGATTCTCATTCAAGATTTTACAATACATGGCCACATCCATTGGCCTCTCAATGCGGCAAAGTCAGCCTTTAGCAGAAAACCAGCCCCAAAACATAATGTTGCCACTTCCATGCTTGACTGTAGGGATGGTGTACTTAGGGTCATAGTCAGCATTTTTCTTCCTCCAAGGATGGAGAGTCGAGTTAATGCCAAAGAGCACAATTTTGGTCTCATTTGACCAAAGCACTTTCTCCCAATTCTTCTCTATATCATTTAGATGTTCTTTGGCAAACTTCAGATGGGCCTGCACATGTGCCTTCTTGAGAGGGACCTTGCAGGCAATACAGAATTTCAATTCATGGTGGTGTATTGTGTTACCAATAGTTTGTTTGGGGACTGTAGTTCTGAGCTGATCCCTCACTTTTCTCATGATCATCCTTACGCCATGAGGCAAAATCTTGCATGGAGCTCCAGACCAAGGGCGATTGATAGTTTTTTTTATTTCCAATGGCGAATAATCATTCCAACAGTTGTCTCCTTCTCACCAAGCTTCTTGCTGTTGGTCTTGTAGTCCATTCCAGTCTTGTGCAGATCTACAATCTTGTCCCTTTGACAGCTCTTTGGTCTTGCCCATGGTGGTGCCAAGAAAGATTCTGTGGACAGGTGTCTTTTATACACGTAACGAGCTGTCATTAGGAGCACTTTCTCAAATTGACAGGACTAATCTGTGTACCATATTAGCACATAGCCAGTCTGTGAGAGACAGAATTATTGTTGGTTGGTAGGGGATCAAATACTTATTTTACTCAATGAACTGCAGCTCAATTTAGAACATTTGTGTTATGTGTTTTTTTCTGCATTTTTGGTTGATATTCTGTCTATCATTTAAAAAACATCTATGATAAAAATTATAGACCCTTAATTGCGTTGTAAGTGGGCAAACTTACAAAATTTGCGGGTGATCAAATAATTATTTTCCCCACTGTATTGCCAAAAAGTATTGGAACGCCTGTTTTTACATGCACATGAATTTTAATGGCATCCCAGTCAGTCTGTAGGGTTTAATATTGAGTTGACCCACCCTTTGCAGCGATAACCGCTTCAACTCTTCTGGGAAGGCTGTCCACAAGGTTTAGGAGTGTGTCTATGGCAGAGCTTGACAAATTTGCTTTGAATCTAGGAGCCATCTAAAAAAGTTAGAAGCCAGTTTCGATGATAGAAATGGCAGATCTTGAATTTGTGCATGGAGGCGGCTGAAGCCAAGATTTTTGACGTGTGTATGGCATGCTGTGCGGGCTCAACTCTGTGTGGAGACTGGAGTCGAGGAGGAGGGATGGGCCATGGTATGCCTGGATTGGCTGGTGTCAAGGGAGAGGAGTGTGGAGGTGCCTTTCTGTAGGGCAGCGGTGGGTCTGCTGAGGGGAGGGGGCAGAGGGTTCCAGGTGTGTGGAGAGGCAGAGAGAAATTTTGACTCTGCTGTGGGTAAGCTGCATGTCTGGGGCGTCGGGCAATCTGTGCTGACAGTATCTCTCTAAACACTGCAGAATTCATCTGGCTGCTTCTGTCTTCTGTCACATCATCAATAAGCACCAATGACCCAGTGCCACTGGAAGCCATGCATGTCCATTCCATCACACTGCCTCTACCATGTTTTACAGATGACGTTGTATGCTTTGGATCATGAGCTGTTCCAAGCCTTCTCCACACTTTTTTCGTCACGTCATTCTGGTACACACTCAGTTTCATCTGTCCAAAGAATGCTTTTCCAGAACTGGCTTTTTTTAGATGTTTTTGGCAAAGTCTAATCTGGCTTTTCTATTCTTCAGGCTTGCACCTGGTTTGCACCTTGTGGTGAACCCGCTGTATTTGCTCTCGTGAAGTCTTCTCTTGATTGTAGGCTTTGACAAGGATACACCCACCTCATGGAGAGTGTCCTTCACTTGTCTGGATGTTGTGAATGGGTTTTTCGTTACCATAGAGAGGATCCTGCGATCATCCACCACTGTTGTCTTCCATGGACATCCATGCCTTTTAATGTTGCTGAGCTCACCAGTGCCTCTTTCCTCAGAATGTACCAAACTGTTGATTTGGCCTCTCCGAATGTTGCTGCTATCTCTGATAGATTTGTTTTGTTTTTGAAGCCTTACAATAGCCTGTTTCACTTGCATGGACAGGTCCTTTGGACGCATGATGTAGGTTCACAGCAATAGATTCCAAATGCAAATACCACACTTCGATTCAACTACAGACCTTTTACCTGCCTAAATTTTGAAGAAATAACGACGGAGTAGACCACACCTGGCCATGAAACAGCTTTCGATTCAATTGTCCAATTACTTTTGGTCCCTTGAAAAAGGGGGGAGACTACTCTTAAGAGCTGTAATTCCTAAACCCTTCCTCTAAATTTGGAAGCACATGCCCTCAAATTAAACCTGGGAGTGTGCACGGTCAACCCATATCCATTATATAACTATAGCCGGAATATGTTTTGGTAAATACCTGAAAAAAAAAATTAAAGTTGTGCCTGTGTCCAAATATATATGGACCTAAGTGTGTGCGTGTATGTATGTATGTATGTATGTATTTATATATTAATTCTTTTGGTGATGTGCAGTGGTTTTTGTGCCATATTTTTTGGAATTATGGCCAAAACGTTCAACCTTTGTTTCATCAGACCATAACACATTTTCCCACATGCTTTTGGGGGCATCAGATGTTTTTTTGAAACATTTAGCTGGGCTTGAGTGTTTTTCTGACTCAGCTGATTTTCCTCTGAAGACGTGCGGTTGCACGAAAGGCCTCAAGAGATCAACTAGCTGTGACGTCACACCGCCGGAGCCACGAGCTGGTCCGGCGGCCATCTTTGGAATGGTCAGTGCACCTGTCATCTTTTTTTACTGAAATATTGTCTGTGAAATAAAATCAAGAAAATTTTAATCTACTACACTATGGGCACAATTCTTATGGCTTCTTTATGGAGCCTTTAAGCCTTCAGAGCCTGTGAAGAGTACCAGTCTGAAACGAGTCCCCAGAGGAAGGGAATCCGTGTAAACAGGTGGCAGACCCTAAAGGAGACCTCTGGAACCAAGCAGACATCTTCCACCGACCGCAGAGCTGCCCATTCCTAGACGGATGTTCTACTAATTACCATCACACATCGTTACCACTAGTCCCTAGTTTTTCATATGCGCATATTCGATGCACATCTGGTAAGTGCACAAGCCTACCATTTTCGACAGCTGTTTTGGATTTCTGGATTATTCATATGTTCTCAGACTGATTCCACTACCCCAGTTTCATTTTAAGCACTGCACTTTATTTCTCTTAGTTTTTTACTTTACTCGTCTCCACACCCCCCCACCCCAAAAGATTTAAGTTTGTTGTTCAATTGAGTTGTACAGTTTATAGGTCACATTAAGGTAGAAAAAGTTCGAAAACGATTTATCTTTGTCTCTTTTTTTTACATCACAGAAACCTGGCATTTTATATCCACTGTACACACACACATCCACCATTCCCAGGGCACAGCAGGCGAACATACAGAGCAAGCTGCTCCTTCGCTCCATCCTCCACCAGAGCACCTATACTGCATCAAGCTCCTGCAGGGAGCACTACTAAGCCCGCTCCGTCAGGTTGAGGTCACTCGGGGCGGAACACAGGCTGACGAGTCCCAACCTCACCCCCCACCGACCCCTCTGCCTCCCACACCATGTGCACACCAGGGGGAGCAAGGCCAGCATGGCGGTGATGTGGCTTTGGCACAGAAGGAAGCAGAAGAGCCAAAAGCGCTCCCCCAGAGAGAAGTCATTCATCCTTGGACCCTGCTCGGGCATTGGGAGAGGGGATAGCGGTCGGCCTGAGGAGAGGAGCTCGGCCACACCCAACTGTCACTCACACTGGGCCTGACAACCGGAAAGCGGATTTCAGCCCAGCCTACTGCCTGCTTCCAGGGAAACTATGGAGACCAGAAGGTGGGGGGGGGGGGGGGGGGGGGGGGGAAGGATCGGTTGCCCTGTGCTCGGAGCTGCATGTCCAGGATGTAGGGCAGTGGGAGTTGCCGGTGTGAGTGGGCTGACCGGTTGCCAGGCCAATATTTCTGGTCACCATGGTGACTTGGCGTCTGGGATTTGTCAAGCTCTGGTCTATGGGAATGTTTGACCATTTTTTCAGAAGCGAATTTGTGAGGTCAGGCACTGATGTCGGTCAAGAAGACCTGGCTCGAAGTCTTCACTCCAATTCATCCCAAAGGTGTTCTAATTGGGTTGAGGTCAGGACTCTGTGTGGGCAAGTCACGTCCATCGGATTGCCAGACAGAAGTGTGATTTGTCACTCTAGAGAACACGCCTCCACTGCTCTAGAGTCCAGTGGCAGCGAGCTTTGCACCACTGTATACGACGCTTTGCATTATACTTGGTGATGTAAGGCTTGGATGCAGCTGCTCGGCCACGGAAACCCATTCCATGAAGCTCTCTACTAACTGTTGAGCTAATCAGAAGGCCACACGAAGTTTGGATGTCTTTAGCTATTGACTTGGCTTACAGTTGGTGACTTCTGCACACTGTGCGCTTCAGCATGTGCTAGCCCCCCCTCTGTCATTTTACGTGGCGGAGATGCTGTTTCCAGTTGCTTCCACTTTGTTCTAATACCACTAACAGTTGACTGTGGAATATTTAGTAGCAAAGAAATTTCACGGATGGACTTATAGTGTGGATATCCAGTTCCATCTGCAACACTTTCTAGCTGAAAGCGTGAAGACCTACAGTGCTCCTCGACATGGGAATCCTTATGACAGCATAGGAAAGCTTGTACTTACTGCTATGGAAGCACTGACCCTGATGTCTGGAGTGCTCCTGAGCTCACAAAGTGGCAGCAAGAAGTACAAGCATGGGATTTTGAAGAAGCAAAGTTAGAAAACCGTTTTACAACTTAAAGCAGTATGAAACCCAAAATAATTACGACTAAGTTATATGCAGCTATCCTCTGGTGATTGGACACTCCGAAATAGAGGTGGCTGCAGGGACAACCCCTTATATAAAATATCTCCCACTCCCAGCTAGCCTTAGTTTTGTAGCAAGCAATAGGGACATCTTATAAACAAAAAAAGGAAAACAGATTTTACTAGTAAATCAAAAATCTGAACTTCAACAAGGGAGGGAAGAACCCCATCCTTTAGGCTATAGAGTTATTGATAACACTTCTGATCTACCTATAAATAGTGGAGCAAGGGAATCTTCAGGAAGCACAAAGAATAAATCAAATTACCAAAAAGCGGCAATAGCTGAGATAAGCTCTAACTGCATGCACCTTGTCCAGATAATGTAGAGAATTTCCTTAGGAGGCTTCAGAGCAGGACATAAGGAAGGAAGGACAATATAGTTATTAAGGTGGAATGCAGAGACCACCTTTGGAATAAAAGCAGCCTTGTCCATGCGCAACACTAAGATAGCTCTCCCTGAAGGATAAGGCCACCAACTCAGAGACAACTGAATATCTCTGATAGGGGAGAACAGGGGGCGAGATGTGAGCTACTCCATTAAGAAATGCCTTAACTAGGAGTGTGAAAGGCCAGAGATCTCTCCCTAAATATTACTTAAGGCCAGTTTTGGCCCATCATATTGGATGGACAGAATACGTCTTACCGTGTACTTTCTAGGATTAAAGTTTCTTGACTCGCAACAAATGAAGTAGGTCCTCCAGGTGCAATAGTAGACTTGAGGAGAAGTAGACTTCCTAGCCTTTCAAGTGGGTAGGGATGACCGAATCCAAAAGGTCCCTATCCCTCAAGACTGTGGCTTCAGTCATGCCACTAAAACCATTGACTGAGAAGCAGGTTAGAACAATGGCTCGAGACAGAAGGTGCAAACAATCCAGAATAGCCTATAGAGCATCTGCCAGGAACTTGAGTATATTTTTGTGACATAGGCAAGGGAGAAGCAAAAAGTTTTGTGACATAGGCATGGGAGAAGCTGAAGGGGCAGAGAGACATAGATCAGACTGAACTGATCCCACACAATCACCAGAGCGTCTACTGCAAAAGCCTGAGGGTCCCTGAACCTAGTAACAAACCTGTCAAGTTTTGCTGCTGAATCTGGACACCAGAAGGTGCACATGGTTTGTCCCCCACCTGGGGAAAACAGATTGAAATTCAGTGTGAGCGTAACTTGCTGTTCTATAAAATTCAACTGACAGGCAACGTAATCACTCATTTTCAAACAAAATCTCCAAAATCTGCAATGGCTGATAAAAAGGAGCAACAGGCTGCAGTCAGTTATGTAACAAACATAGGCAGAATATGAATTGCATGGGGAAATCGTTAAGTGTATTATGCATTAATATCTTGTGGAGTGCATCTTCTATGTTAGAGGAGTACTGCCAAAGCTCTTTTGGCTGTACTTCTCCTGTTGGTAACAGGAGTGCAGTTCGTTCTTCACTCCTGTGACCCATTTTCAGCTGACAGCAGGCTGAAGCCCGCTGTTGGCTAACGTCACTCAGCCGGTTTATATTGAGGAAAGATCCCGCCTTTAAAAGTTGGGATCAACGCCAGAGTCTGGAGCATCACCTGGCTGAGAGGCCGAGCCAGCCGCTCCCTCCCCCTCCACAACCTAGCGTTCAAGTGAGTGCGAGGGGGCACGTCAGAGCGGACAGCAGAGAATGACAATCACTGCTCTCTGCTCACAGCAGCGGTGAGAACTCAGCGGTCATGTGAACACTGAGTACTCACACTTAGAGCCAGCGAGGGGCAGACATTGGACCGATGCTGCATCCACCTAGGCAAGTATAATTTGGGGGAAAAAAACCCAAACTTCTCTTTTAAGTGACTCTTATAAGACCATTGTCTAACAATGCTTGTGAAGTGCATACTGCTCTAGAAGACCCATCACACAGCTACAGCCAAATATACTCAGCAGCATTATAGAACAAAACCTTATAATGGAATCCTTACAATATTATGGCATTATAAATGAACAAAAGCTAACTTACCGGCTTTTCATGTTCATGTGGCATGTCAAACACACACTTTAACTTAGAATCCATAAGATCATCAGGTTTTGCTTCCTTCCACTACAAACCACAAAATGATCACATTAGGCATTGCAAAATTACAACATATTAGCAGTTATTACTGCTTTACAAATCAATACAGAACACGGAACAAAAGCAAATTGCAAGTTAGCATAGAATTCAACCTTTTGCATTTAAAGGCACAGTCAATCTTTTTACAAAAAAAAAAAAAAAAAAAAAAAAAAAAGTAATAAACTATACCCACATTTATTTAAAAAAAATGTAAAATAATAATAATAATAATAATAATAATAAAGAGCGTTACATTTTGTCTCCCTGCTATTTTGCCAGATGTAACCTTTAGTATTTCCATTCACAGATCCTATGTATGGATGAAAAGGTTGTGTGGGTAGATCCATTGACAAGTCATTAAAAAAATAAATAAATAATTATATTCACTCCACACATTTTCTCCTCACAACAAACAAAATCGTTTTAACCAACTATCTGTAGTTTAGTCTAGTTGGCACTGAACATCATGGAGACGACTGTAGTAACCACCAAAAGCTGTGCCAATGGCACTGACACTATCCAGCTGGGGCAATACCTCCTTCCTTCATCAGTCTATCCACCCTGACAAGAGGTGGGAGAGTATGATGTTAGACAGGAGGTGGCCAAGCCAATCAAGAGTCAAGCAGTCCCAATCTATTCACCTGAAAAGACCTTTATTATTATAATTATTATACAGGATTTATATAGTGCCAACAGCTTGCTCAGTGCTTTACAATATAATGGGAGACAATACAGTAACAATACAGTTCAATACAAGAGGGATAGGAGGGCCCTGCTCCTCGGAGCTTACAATCTATATGCCCTCAAAGTAGCCAGAGCACCAGAAGGAGAATTACAAGTAGCTGACAATGCTCCCTTTGTGGCTGGCCACAGGCTTAGGTTAGTACTAAAGCAGGCCTCAGTGATGTGCAGCTATACCCATTAAAAAGGGTCCATTTTTTTCTTATATTAAGTCTTTTACATGACTCTTTTTTTTTTTTTAAAGAAAGATTTTTTTTTATAGACATACAACTACTACGTCCAAATTTGATGATAGATCATTTTTAAAAGTTTTTATACACACACACACACATTAAACAGGTTACTTGTATTTGAATAATGGACAAAATTTTTCCCATCAAAAAGATCTTGTTTTAAAACATTTTTTTTTCACTTTTTTTTCTCCCCACAAAAATGGAAATGGTTAAACCACTGAGAAATCTTCAATAAAAAGGAAAAATAGAAACTGTAGCATAGTCAACACCTTCTCACCACCTATACACATATATGCAGCCTCATGGAAGCGGATCTTAATCTGTAAGGCTGCATATATATGTATCCGAGTTTGTGCTGGAAGTGTGCTGCACAGCGCACTCCCAGCACTGAAATCGGGTTCGTACCGAGAACCACGGGTCTTGTACTAACGATTGGGAACTGGGAGTTTCGGTCACCTGATCGATGTGATAGCCTCCGATTGGCTATCACAGTGAACAGTCACAGTGTAGCACAACACCCCTGTGTTACATTTTTTCCCTCTGGCATGGATTCATTCAAGAGAGGAGAGAAAAGAAAAAAACAAAAAAAAACAAGAAAACTCAATTGTTAGGCTCCACGCATGCTGGGCGTTTTGATAATGTTGCTAATGTTAGCGGTGTAAAGTCACGTTAAAAACGTGCATTTCTTTACAGCTTTTTAGCATTTTTGCACTAGCGTTTAGCGGTATTTTGGTACATTTCCATTTTTAGCGGGGTTTTTTTTTTTGTATCAAAAACCGTCCAAAAACGCAGGTTTGCAGCGTTTTACTGCATTTTTCAGCATTAGAGTGTTTTTACAGCTAAAAAAACTCCTCTAGAAACCCACTAGTCCTGGGGGTTTTTTTCCAGCCAAAAAACATCCCTGCCAAAAAACATTGATTAAAGTCTGTGTGCATGGACACATAGGATAACATGCTGGGGAGTTTTTACTGGCTGTAGAAAAAAAAAAAAAAAACATCAAAAGACAAACATCAGCTGTAAAAACATCCACTGTGCATGAGGACCTAAATTATATATTATTTAAATAATAAAAAACAAAGAAAATATGTATATCAGGGTTTGAGCTAGTTCAGGCTAAAAAGTAATGGTTAATGTATTTTTTGGTGAGAAGAAAAAAAAAAAAAAAAAAAAAAAAAAAAAAAAAAAGGCATTTAGGCCTCATGTACACTGCTGCTCCTAAACATGAGCTTAGCAGCTTTTGGCATTTTTCTTTGCCAAAGTCCCTGAACTCAACTCAATAAAAGCCTAGGTGTCCATGCACACTTAGGCTTTTGCCAGGCGTTTAAGAGCAGCAGAGTTTAGGAGCAGTTAAACATTCCTCTCCTGAACGCAGAAGAATCACATTCAGGAGAGGAACGTTTTGCCCAAAAAAAACCAAACACCACAAAAACGTATGTAAACGCATCTAAACGCTAGCTGCATTTAGCGCTTGAGCGTTTATTCATGTCAATGGAATACTCTGGCTAATCAAATGAATAAACATCCAACTACTAAACACAGCTAGACATAGTACCGCATTTACACAAAGTTTTTCTGCTGCTAGGAGAGCTAAACGTCTAGGGCAGTTAACATGTACATCAGGCCTTGGGATCAGTGTCAGTGTGTTTTAGTTTTTGGTTTTGTTTGTTTTGGGGTTTTTTATTGTAAAGGAAAAAAAAAAAAAAAAGCACATAATGTGCACAAAAATACACATACTGTATGTTGGATAGTAGTGATCATCAGAAGGATTTAATTTGAGTTGTATTTTGGTGGTAGGTTATGGTAATAGCAAGAAATATGCAGTTAAATGTCCTTTGATAATTTTAAAAAATTCAGGGAGATATTAATTATTATTTACTATCAAAGGAAAGCCCAATTTGTCCTGAAAAAATCAAGGTAAAATGCTCCTGGATAAAGTTGCAATGATATGTTCAGTTTTTACCAACACATGTCAAAGTTGCAAAACTCTGTTCAGACTCTAGAATTTGTTTTACCCCTCTGTCATGAAGGAGTTAAACCAAAACCAATTGCTAATTTGTATGTACTTTTGCATGTATAATAATCAGCCCACTACTGTTAGTTTATGAGAATAAGGATAATGGTGTCTCTTTTACAAAACAAAAGAGAACAAAAAAACACTTACCATAGCTTCCATGTCTGACATATTTGATGGAGCAAATATTGTCTGCACCATGAATTTGTGCTTACTCTTTTCATTTGGATCATAGTCAAAAGGCTGCAACATTACTGTGAACAAATAAAAACAATACACATTATCTGTTATTAGCACAGATAAAAGCATTTCAACAAAAGTCTATGCATATGGTCACAGTGATACAAGGAAAAAAAAAAAAAAAGAAGGGGGTTGGCTTTCTCCTGTATGGTTACCAAACACAAATTGTTCAACATTTTATTTCCATCTCAGTAAGCTTAGAACTTATTTCACATTCTAAAAGAAGAGGAGATACTAAAAAGAAATTACTTTAGTAGGATAAACTAAAAGAACAGTGATCTATGACCACTATGCTATGCACACACTGAGTAGGCTTTAGCAAGAGTCAAGTGCAGCTCAGCTCAGTACTGTGCACTCTGATCTTTGATCTCATGCATGTGAGGCGCCCATGTGGGATATTCAAGTTTTAATATGTTAGCAGATAAACCCGAAGCAGATTAACGCAAAATAAATCCAGCCAAAAAAAAAAAAAAATTAAAATGAATAGCCCATTAAAACATAAAATAAAACAAGCATTTGCTACAATATTCCGCTACAAATAGAGATATCCCAGAGTATTTTTTGATGTTGTTAAATGCTCAGTCTGATGGCCAGCATCATTCAAATCGCTTCCTCCAAGCCCAGGTCATCCTGGACTCACCCCAGCATGTGAGTGGATAGTAAAAGGAGAAGCAGTACAGTGATGAGTTCTGTCACTCTGCTTTCACTGCCTATCAACATGCTCCTTGTCAGCACAAACTGAGTGACTCCGTGTACTGCTTCTTCCTCTCATACTCCTCTCTCTACAGCTAGTAGTCCGTTTACATATATTAGGCTTTTCTGTTGTCTTTCTAGTGATGTGAAGCTTTACAGCCACCTAATCACTTTCACAAATTCAGCAATGTGTCTCCCCATTGTTGGTGCCCCAAGTATTCATGGTGGGTGTGTGAGGGAAAAGCAGAGGACAAAATCCGCAAACATCTACTGCACTGAATGAAGAGCTACTCTTTACTTTTAGTTTCACAGCATTTATCCCCCGGGTTTCTGTGCTCCAGGAAGAGGTTTAACCACTTTAGACCAAGCCTATTCTGACACTCCTCTCCTACATGTAAAAATCAGTATTTGTTTTGCTAGAAAATTACTTAGAACCCCCAAACATATTTTTAGCAGAGGCCCTAGAGAATAAAATACAATGGTGGTTGCTGCAAAATTTGCTTTAAATTGGTTTTTTTTTTTTTTGGCTGATGCTGCCAAGCCTCAGCTTTAGGATTGAAATAGTGTCTGATGAAGTAGGAACAAGAGCCAAAAACTACCAACCATATGTTACTATGGAGTAAAGCCACTTGGTGTCCCTGCTCCTAGACTTTGTTCCCATGTCCCTTTATGCTATTATTAGTGTTTTTGGCTGCAGCTGATTAAAAGGGGAAGGTGTCATGGCTGAGAGCCAAAGTCAGAGTGAAGCAAGGTATACTTTTATGGAAATTTGGCCAGTTCAGCCAAATGTGTATTCTTCTTTATTCAAGAAAAGACAGTCCTTAGACTGGCTTCTGTCAAACAGTTCTACTGGAAAACCAGACAGACAATGGCTGCAGCGCTGATCTGTGTATTCTGACCAGTGTTTCCCACAATAGCACAGCAAGGGAAATTCCTGCATCCACATCGCTTGTGGGGGAATCTCAGTTTTTATCGTTCAACTCTCACTTTATACCAAGCTTCAGGCTACATTCCCACGGTGTGAATCACAGTGGCACTAAACTACCGATTGGTCGCTGTGTTTGTTGGGAGTGAGCGGCTAGCTGCAGGCGCCAAGCCAAGACCTTTCAATGACAGGTTGTCAGAGGGGACAGCTTTTCAAGGCTGTTTGCACAGATAGCAATTACCTGCAGTGACCGCTGCTGGATGCACGCAAAGTTACAATTGATACTTAAGATCTGCCTGCAAAAATTACAGACAGGGTTGACTGCGACAAAATACAGCATCCCAATTCCCTCACAACAGAGAACTAAGCAGAATTTTACCTTGCTGGAAGTATCAGAAAAGAGCAAGAACAAAAAAAGTAAACAGTCATTTGTAAATATTTTTTAAATTATGCTACATGGAGACATGTAACAAAGTAAGTGTTATCCCAAATTGGCTCCAAAACTGGACTACACTTTAAAGCAGTGCTGAGTGCGCGCTTGACAAGTAATCCCCAAAACTCTCATATGCACACTAATAATAAGTCACAGATTGTTAAAAAATATCTGTGGGTTACCATTGCAAAGCCAGTCTGAAAATACTGTTATGCTGATCTTATGGTTCCAATTTTTCTCGAGTCATCTATTCGTGCTAGGTATGAAATATGCAAAGGCAAAAATTTCTAAGCTATTGGATCAGTATGACAGCCAGATAATAAACACAAGGAAATTATATATAAACCTGAAACTCCTAAAACAGAAGCTGTTCTTTAAGAGTCAGTTCATCAGAAGAGGGAGAATAAAAACGTTTCTACCCAATAACATGAGACAGCCAACAGTAGTTACATATTCAGTCTTCTCCTGTTACACAGACTGCATGCACATAGTCTCAGTGCAAACAAACTCATGTTTCAATGTCTGCAAAAAGATAGTTCAGCACTTTAACTTGGAACCTGACCTTAACCCATTTGCTGCCAAAAATGTTTTTTTTTTTTTTATTGGGGGGGGGGGGGGGGGGGACTGAGATGGTTTTGCAACCATTAAAATGCACATTTTAAGCCTGTACCTAAAAACACCCAAGATGTTATATGCAACACCAAATATGGCAAGCCTCAAAATTTCATATGCTCTGATGTCACCACTGCACTCCTCTGAAGCTAAACAAGCAAATGAGCACAGATCAATTAGCTTCTTTCCTGACCACAAGAGTCTTGGAATGAGAGATCTCAAAATAAAAGGGATCAAAGCTCCTTGCTTCCAGGTGCAGTCTAGCTAGGATGTCTGCTAGACTTTCTATGCTCTCCCTGTTTGACACCTGCCATAGATGCCCTAGGCCCCCATGAGGGAAGGATGAGCAGGGAAAACAGGCAATGTGGAGAGATCTCTTTTGGATGTTTAGGAGAAAGGCATAAGAATGGGAGGTCAATGTCCTCATTGAGGTGGAATGCTGACAACACTTTCAGAAGAAAGGATGGCCTTGCACACAAGACAGCCTTGTCACTGAGAAGGAATGAAGACACTTTACAGCAACAGCTGGCAGTTCAGAAACACATCTGGCAGATATGATCGTGGCCAGGATTAGGGATTGGAACATTCCTCCCCAGCCTGTGAGACTTGTGTCGATAACTTTCCAGTGAGAGGGAAGAAAGAATTTACCCACTATTAGAACTGGGTTGGTGGTCCAACAAGATAGGAGTGTTCCTTGTTTTGGCAAATCAAGAGAAGGAGCTTGCATGTTTCAGGACAATAACACGTTTTGTTAAAGGAGTTCTTCAATGGAATGTTATTGCTCTGAAGGAGGCTACCATTAGACCTTGAAATTTCAAGGTGCGAGGTCTTTTGAATGTCAAAACTCAAGCAGGTACTCTTAGAAAAACTCTTTTCTGGTAGAAAGACTTTCCTGGGATGTGTCCAGAACCAGATTCAAGTATTCCATGCAAAGTTTATGAATTTGAAGGAATATTTAATTAATTTTAAATCCAGAATAGGACAATACCTCCTTTGAGAGGATACTACCTAAACCTCTTCAGTAGTACCAAAGCCCAACCCTGTCTTGTGGTGGTACGGGCACAATGACTCCCTGGGACAAAGGTAGTTCATGGCATTCTGCAACTCTAATTGTCCTTGGGCAGTTTGTGGTATATAGAAATAAGGTGGTGAAATGATTATGAACTTCATTTGTATTCTTTTGAAACCACTGATTGAACCCACAGGTTTGGGACGTCTATGACTCAGAGAGAGGCCAACAGTAACAATCTTCTAATTCTTTGGAGGGTGTCCCTTCATTGTGAAGAAGGTCCCTAGGAAAAGCTTGGTGGCCTTGAAGGGTCAAGTCCTGCACCAGAAAGAAGGTCTGAACCTAGGTTTTAAAGGTGAAGAAGATGGGTGCTTTGTGTTTTAAGGAGCTTGGGGATCCTACAAAAAGGTGGTTTTGAACCCTTCCCATGTGTGACCTCTTTGATAAATTGGTTAAGTGCCTCACCAAACAGACATCTTCCTTGGAAAGGCATACAAAAGTTTCAAACATTTTACACCGGTGAATGCAGAGCAGTCAAAGATACAGAGCAAGCCTGTTTTACTTGTCCACGATGCTGGACTGTAAAAGTTCCACATTCAGTGACTGGGTTCTTAAGTGACGGACCACAGTCCTGGAACTATATAGCACCCTACGGTTAACAACGCTTTGCAACAAGTAGCAAGGAGAACACCCATGCGGGATCTATTGCCAGAAGCAACATTATGGGCCACCCCCGTGGTATGGGGTCTGGGTACGGCTCCCAAGCTTTTACCAAGGTTGCACCAATCTGGATACACGGCTTCTATGCTGGCATTAGAAGTCAGCAAGGGCTTTATGCTTTTTCTTTATCATTTTGTCCTCAGATTCTTCAATAAAGAAAAAAAAAAAAAACCAATTAACCTAAGGGCGAGTTTCTCACCTTCAGACACTACCACAAAATTAAGGACCTACAGAGTGGGTTAGGATTACAGGGGAGTGCCCAGAGGGTTGTCCTCTAAAGTTTTGTCCAATCACCTGAAAGTACAAGCGTATAACCCATGATATATGAATATTCTGCCTGTGTCTTACTGTCCACTTAAGAAATAAATCAAGGAAATAAATTTAAAAACAAAACTGCCTACGGTAGCTAAGCACTTTATTCCAAAAACCCAAATAGGTTTGCACATTTACAAACCATGGTAACAAATGTTAAAGTGCTTGTAAAGGTCCAAGGTTTTTTACCTTCATGTATTCTACCCATGAAGGTAAAAAAAAAACAAAAAAAAAACCCCAACAACAACCTTCTGTGTGCAGCAGCCCCCCCCCCCTTCCCAATACGTACCTGATCGGCCCCATCTCAATCCAGCGATGTGCACGAGAGCAGTGGCTCGCCTGGATCTCTAGCTCCTCATTGACAGAGACAGCAGTGGAAGCCATTGGCTCCTGCTAGTGGCAATCAAAGCCAGTGAGCCAATTAGGAGAAAGCTGGGGTGGCGGAGCCACGTGTGTGAATGGACAGAGCAGCAGCTTGGGAGCGAGCCTGCTTGGGTGACCTCATAGCAAGCGGTTGGCTCTGGGGGCACGCGGAAGCCGGCAGGGGGTCAGGAGAGCCAGAGGGGGGCCTGAGAAGAGAATTGGGGCTGCTCTGTACAAAACCACAAAAAAAAAAAAAAAAAAAAATTATTATGGATATTTTCAGATCAAGAAATTAAGATATCAAACAGATTGTGTTTGTATTTAAGAACAAAGCAACTGTATCTTTTTTTATACCTTCCAGTATGTGCTCTATGAACAATGGATATAAAAAATAGAAATGATCACCCAACAGTCCACAGGAGTATATTTCTGTATATATTGTGCCCAGATGTAGACAATTTCTTAAATAAATGACAAAAATATGGAATCAGGTTTCCAAGAATGAAAGACCTGTTGCAAACGGAAACGTCACATTTCTCAGCGAGCTTGCAAAGCTGCTTAATCCATGTACTGTATATGGAGAAGTATTTCCATATATGATTCTGCTAATAAGTAGAAATACTTTCCACTGTCAGTGTAGGCTTATTTGCAAGCATAGTTATAAAAACACAGATCTGTTGATAGTAACCGCATCATACATTTCTCACTGAGCTTCTCATAGCTGACAGACACTTTCCAGGAGTATGATGCACAAACACATTGCTAATAACATCATACCATTATCACTGAGTTTACAAGATTTCATATGTGTGTTCATCAATAAATATCCTTAAGGTTCTCTTCCACATGGGAGGTATGATCAGGCCCACCTGTCCGTTTTTCAGGTAGACCTGATCAAGAGCTCCAAGTAAAGTCTATGGGCAGGTAGATGTAAACATATGGTTAACTCAGAGTCTGTCCAGAAAAATTAAAAAGGTCTGACAGAGACCCATGGGCATTATGGTACATGAGAAGCTCACATCTATCCTTGAAAACACGGCACATCCAGTACCTCAAGGTCCCTGGACTGGTTTTAACACTCAGAAGAATATAGGTTGTAACTTGCTCTCTTTGTAAATTATCCCGATGACAAACGGTGAAGCCCCCCCCCCCCCCCCCCAGTTGACCCACGAGGGTCCACTCTTCACTTTTTATGTTTCTAACTTCTCTATAGCCCTGTCTATCCCTATCCCTTCCTACCCTTCTTGCCTTAATGGCTGTAAAATCTGAGGGTACCTTTCTTTTTTTTCTCCAGTCAGCAAGGCACTTTTTACAGTTAACGAAAAACATTCTTTGTTCTGGATGGTTCATTGCACTAGACCTGTACATATATCTCATTCTAACTGTATAGCTGTTCAGCATATTTCATCCTACGCGATATTCTTGGCTCATTTACTGTGTTTTATACAATGCAAGCCTTACTCTGATTTTTCATTTGTACCCTTATATTGTACTATTGCTTCTAGTCTATGACTCCTTTGTAATGTTTTGGAAAAACCTAAAAAATCTTTTATGAATACAAAAATGTCTCTACCCTTTTCCATTTTTTTTTTTGGACCTAAACATGACAGATTCTAGGTAGTCGAATCCAAACAGACGTAAATCCCTTTTAACATGGCCTCCCATAGATCCATCATGTTTCTGGAAAGCCTCAGTTTGTAAAGCCACATTCACACCTGAGCATTTTGTAGCTCGAAGCTCCAAAACCCTTGAGGATCAAAAATCAATTATTCTCAATGGAGATGGTTCACATCTCCACTCTAAGTTGCATGAAGCCAAATGCCTGAAGCTCAAACAAGCTCTGGAACTATTTTTGTAGCTCAAATTTGGCAGATATGCACACTTTTGGTACAGTTCAAACCGCATCCAAACAGTTCTCGCAAAGTTTCTTACAGCTGATACAAACCATTTTTCAGGTATGGTGGTCATGCAAAGACCTGTTACCAATGACAGAATCATATAGTTCTCACAAAGCTTGACACATTTCTAAAGGGTTTGCAACAGTATATATACACAACTGTAATCCACATATATGTCGTTAGTAAAAGCTTGCTCATTGAGAGCCATTTTACACTATATTTTCATAGCAGACCAGAAGACTGGTGTTTTAAAACAGGCTTTGTTACAGTGGTTGTCAGTGTAGAACTATTTTGGCATTTGTAATAAATACGCTTAGCTTTAAAGGCAGCTTTTTTTATGCATCTAATATCACTAATGAACGATGACCCCAAACATGCAACCAATGTCATTAAGAACAATCTTCAGTGCAAAGAAGAACAATCCTGGAAGTGATGGTTTGGCCACCACAGAACCTTGATCTCAACATCATGGCGTTCATCCGGGATTATATGAGAGGCAGAAGGATCTGAGGCAGCCTACATCTACAGAAGATCTGTGGTTAGTTCTCCAAGAGATCTGGAACTACCTGCCCAGTACCTTCAAAAACTGTGTGAAAGCGTACCTAGAAAAATGAAAAATATGTGCAGTTTTGAAGGCAAAAGGGTGGTCATACTAAATATTGATATGATTTGGATTTCTCTCCTGTTCAGTTACTTTTCATTTTGTTAATTGATAAAAAAATAATCACTAACACTTCTATTTCTGAAAGTATTCTTAATTTACAGCATTTTTTCACACCTGCCTAAAGCGTTTGCACAGTACTGTGTAATATATATCTGTTAAATTACTTTTTAACATCATTGCATCAATAAAATTCATGTTTTAAAACATCTGCTATTATTACCAGAAACTGTTACTGTGGCTCCAGGATCTATAATGCCACTGTTTGGCCTCACACAGTAGCGCCTTGGAGCTGTAGTTTTCACCTTGAAACATACTTTCTTGTCAGACGGATTACGAAGTTTGAGGTTTGTGGTGACAACATCTGTGAACGGACCTAGAAATGAAAGAGTCAGTTAGCTTGCAAGTGGCTTTATTGGAAGCAGAATTAAAGCTGAAAGATAACACAATGTTAAAGCAGTTATGTACTTTCAGTTAAACTAGTGTAAATATTTGAATTTGCCTTACAGCAGAACTTTTCTATAACAATTTGATAAAAAAAAAAAAAATGTTTTTAGCAAGAAACATACATTAATATTTATGCTACCAAAATTAGTGGATGCTGTAAACCGCCTACAGCATTGTTCCGATTTTCTTCTTGGAGGAGGCTGTCATTTTGCTGAAGCCCAGAGCCTCTGAACAGACATAAATCATAAAGAACTAAACTCATTGATTTAACCATTTCAAAAAAACATTTACATTCCTGGAATGCCAACTGTCACATTTGCTTGCGTCCTCAACCAAACCATCAAATGCCTGGTGTCATAACTGATCACATGTGCACCACCATGCCAGTTGCAGATCAAACATAAGCAACTTCCTTGACTGTAAAGGATAGGAGGGTTTAATTCTGCTTTAAGGCTGTCAGCAGATCAGCCTGTACAAATTCAACAGTGCCTAAAAATAGAGAGCAACTGAGCATGTGCAGAACAGGGACAGACATTGTATTACTGGATTTTAAACAGAATAAGGACGTATTTTAAATGTTTTACTTAGCAATACCTGCAAAAAGGGTCAGCCTAAAGTGATCTAGGAGGACTTATTTTCTAATTAATGTTAAACTTTAATTGCCTCCAGTAATTTGATGAACAGCAGCGCTCAGACCAAAAGGGAAGACCACATTAGGCTGTAGTGCACGAGCGCTGACTGGAAGAAAGAGTAGTCTGTCTCAATCAGCAACCTGTGATTTGTTCTTGGCTTTGCTGTGCTGCTGCACCAGCAGAGGTTGAAGACCTGGCTGTGTTAAGCGGCAGAGGGGCTGCACCACAAACTGGATGAACAGGATTACATGACTGTCATGTAGTTAGTTGGACAACAATCTAAGTTCAAGGGGACCCTTTACATACTAACTCAGGGGGGGAGGGGGGGGGAAACTGTGCTTAGTACATACCCATACATTTAAATAGTGCTCACTGAAACTATAATACAATAAATCTAAAACCTAAATGTGCAAAATTTGTGCTGTCCCTTTAAATCATTAATAATCACAAGTGAAAATGAGAATACATAATGATTGGAACAAGTTTCATGTGGCTCTTTACAAAGTGACAAATAATTCACAAATAAATACATTTTGTGATTAAACAAGGTGATTAAGAATAGTGCCATCAAATTAAAGAACGTCCATAAATAAATAGCAATCAATTCCTTCTGTGTATGTGCTTCAGTACTCCATCACCTTCACACACGTGTACTGCTCTGGGGGTGGGGGTGGGGTTTGGGTAAGGCTGTATTCTCCCCTGTTGTATTCAATATGAAAAAAAATGTAAAGTCCAATGTTGCATACATCACTGACCCTCATAAATGACTGTTGGTATTCCTTAATTCCTGTAAGAAAATATAGCTGTGCAAGTGGGTTGGTGCTCTCATTTTATCAAAGTAGTCAGCCGGCAGGTATCATTTTCTACTCCTTTAAAAAGGCAGAACAATCCTGGGGCAGTGATACTACAAATGCTTTCACAAAGAAAAACAAAACATCCAAGAGGCGATGGGAATTTGATGCGAATTCATAAAAAGTGGTAAAAGGACCAAAACATTTGGAGAGCTCACTGGCTCAGGTTTGGCTGTTAACAGACAGGGCTACCCTCAGGTGGGTACCCAGCGGGTTACCAGAAAAAAAAAAAAAAAAAAGCAACGGAAGAAGGACCAGATCAAAAGGATTTTAAAAAATCCAAAAACTAACTCACACCAAAACATCAAACATGTTTCAGGTATCAGAAAAAGCTTGTACATCAAGGCTTCAGTTAAAAATAAAAACCTTGAATGGGCTCAAAACTTGGCTTTCCTGGGTGATTCTATGTAGGGTGCCAACTGCTGGATTAGGGCAGTAACTGGCCTTACATAGAGCGGGTATTGAAAAGAATCACCCCCCTTTAAAATAATCACATTTTGTTGCTTTGCAGCCTGAAATGAAGACAGACACAGTTTTTGTTTTATCTAGCTGTTTTATCATTGCAACCTATAACATCCAAGTGAAAGATATAACACCAACTTGTCAGAAAAAAAAAACATTTCAAAAACAATCACTGAGTTGGAAAAAAGATCACCCCCCTCCTAAAAGTAACTTGTAAACTCAAGTCAAGCGTAAATAATCTCCCTCTCAATTGCACACAAAGCCATTTGACTTTCAACTGTGATCATTTTGATTAGCTTCAGCATGAAAAGAGCTTTTCTGGAGCATTTCAGTCCCTGGTAGTGCAACTAAAGCAAAACAAATCAACTGGGTGGAAAGGCACTGTCAAAAGATCTCCGGAATAAAATTCAGGAGATGGATAAAAATAAAAGTCAGGAGATGGATAAGAAAAATTCAAAAGCTTTATCAATGCCTTGAAGCACAGAAAAGTCTATTATTAAGACGTGGAAGGTATTTGGTACAGCAGAACCTCCCTGGATCAGGACGTCGCTCCAAACTGGATGAAAGAGCCAGGATAAAACTGGTCAGAGAGGCTACCAAGAGGCCTACAGTAACTCTGAAGCAGTTGTAGGAATTTGTAGTAGCCATTGTGTGCATGTGACAATATCAAAAATGCTCCACAAATGTGGCTTGTATGGGAGGGTTGCAAAAAAATAAATAAATAAATCCACTCCTCAAGAAAGGCCACATGCAGTCATGACTGAGCTTTGCCAAAATGCAGCTTGAAGATTGAGGCCACGTGGAAAAAGGTGTTGAGGCCAAATAATTACATTTGTGTCTCATCTGACCATAACACTAAATTAAATGTCTGGTGAAAAGCCAATACAGCTCACCATCCAAATAACCCCACTGCTACGGTAAAGCATGGAGGTGGTAATATCCTGTTATGGGGGTGTTGCTCTGCAGCAGGGACTGGAGCACTTGTCAGGATAGAAGGAAAAATGGATGGGGCAAAAATACCACTAAAAATTCTTGGGGAAAGTATGCTGCCCTCTGCCAGAAGGTTATCAATGAGAAGGTTTACCTTCCAACATGACAATGACCCAAAGCACGCAGCAAAAATGACCACACAGTGGTTAAAGGACAAAAGTGTGAATCTCCCTACATGACCTATTTAGGGCCCAGATTTAAACTACATTGAATATCCATGGAATGACTTCAAGACTGCAGTCCACAAACGGTCACCATCAAACTTAAATGAACTTCAGCAATTCTGCAAAGAAGATTGGGCAAATATTGCAAAGTCTAAATGTGTAAAGTAGATAAATACCTCAACAGACTAAAAGCTGGTGGTTCAACAAAATACTGACAAGGGGGCAGGGATGTTTATTTTATAGCGCCCGGGCAGGTAGTTTTTATTTACCTTTAGTCCTGCTGCGGGTAAGCAGCAGGGCTCACCTGTTAGGTGGAAGCATTAGAGGGGCAGCGCTGCCAACCAATTGCTTCCACACAGCCCTCAGTGCCAGCTGCTGCCCCCCTGCCTGTTATATCTCAAGCTCCACTTGCCCATCTGCGGGCCCGGGACTGATTCCGTGGGTGCCGGCGGTATGCGGTATAGGGGAAGGAGGAGAGCGGACACATCTGTTCCCCTTCCCTTCTTGTGCTGACCTGGAAGTGATATGCGACATCACTTCCAGGTCCCCACTGACAGATTTCCAGCAATAGAGGCCGGGAAAAAAATGTAATGTGGTGCGATGTGCAGTGCATTACATTCAGTGGAGCACAGGGGAGGCATTTGGGGTCTCAAAAAAAAAAAAAAAAAAAAAAAAAAAAAAAAAAAAAAAAGGGTACACCCAAGCATATACCCCACCCAGTTATTTCAAAACCCCCACAATGTAAAAGCATGCACTGGGGCGCTTACACATGAAAATGACGATTGCGATACACGTTACATGTCACTGAGCATGCCGGAATGAAAGCAATAATTCTAAACACCAGACCTCCTCCGTAGCACTATAGAAAATATAGGGCACTAAAGTTTGCAGCCATTTCACAGGTGCATGCAAAATTAAGGTTTGACATGTTGGATATTTACTCGATGCAACCTCATCTTTTATATTTTACAAAGAAATTGGATAATTTGTTTTTTGTGCCCTAAAATTAACAAGTGTATTTTTTACTGAAATTTTGCGTTTCCCAGACCTTTATGGTAATATCACGTGACATAAATTGGAACCACCGCTATTTTATTCTCTAGGGTCTCTAATTTCAAAAAATATATAATGTTTTGGAGTTTTGTGTAATCTTCAGGCCTTAATTTTTTTTAAACGTGTGCAAAAATCGTAATAATGGCTCTGGCAGCGAAAGGGATAAAGAATAAGCCCGACACTCCCCTTTCCTGATGAGCACCCAATCCGTGCTCATTACACTGCAAGGTCTCTCCCTCCCTGCTAGTCCCCGGGTGCGGTGCTGGAGACAGGCAGGGAGGGGAGGAGGGGATAAACAGCGCAATGTTAAAAATATTAAACAATTAAGTTGCCATAAAGCCCCTTTCGTTTTAAAAGCTCCAGACATTACTTAAAGCAGATTTAACCCCTTCACGCCTAAGGGTAAAACAAATCTAAATGCCTACGCACAATTTTGCAACGTTGACACCATACATATCACAACTACTTTGTACATCCAGGTGAATTATAAATTTTTTTTTTTCCCAAGACAAACTGGGCTTTCATTTGGTGGCAAATGGTATTGATATCTCCTGATTTTCTTTATATTAATCAAAGAAAAACTGGTGCAAAATAGTAAAAAAAAAAAAAATTTTTTTTATTTAGCTGCGTTTTTCTTGTTACTACAGTAACCTACCACCAAAGAACCACCCAAAATAAATTCTCCAGCTCGACGATCGTGGCAATACCATATATGTGTATGTTATTTGTACCCGTAGTACAGCCCAGAAACAATAGTGTGCATTTTGTTTTACGTCTTTTTATT